CTTAGTGTTTTGGAAGTTCTTGTGTGCAACTGGTGGCTTGGGCAGGATTAACCCCCAATGCAATGTGCTAATCCCTTGGTTTTTTCCCTCAAAGCAGGATTTACCATTCCCAAACACCGGCTGGATGAAGGAGGGGGCTGCAAAGAAAAGGAAGAGGTCCCAGGACCCCCAGGCAGGTGAGGAGGAAATCTCCCACTCCTTTCCCCTCTCTGCTCCTCCATCTCCCAACCCACCATCACCCCTGACTGCAGGATAACCCCGGTGCTGATGCCGTCCTGCCGGGGATGGATTGGGAGGTTCTCCTTCCCCTTCCCTGTGGCACGGAGGCAAATCCCATCCTCTCCTTGTGCTTCCTCCCCCAGGCAATGAGCTGAGGATGGAGACCAAGGAGGACAAATCCCCCCAGCAGAACCTCATGGAAGAGGCCGTTCTGAGAAGCTCCAGGGCACAGGAATTGAATGAAAAGGAACAGTCCCGGAGATCTTCTGCAAGGAGTGGCTCCAAACCCAGCCCAGGGTGCTCTGAGGGGGAAAGACCCACCCAGTGCCAGGAAGGCACCCAGAGCTTCAGCCGGGGCTTGGACCTGGGGGTCCATGAGCAGCTTCACGCTTGGGAGAAGCCCTACAAGTGCTTGGAGTGTGGGAAGAGCTTCAGCCAGAGCCATGACCTGATCCGTCACCAGATGATCCACACTGGGGAATGGCCCTACGAGTGTGGGGAATGTGGGAAGGGCTTCAGCTGCAGCTCCCACCACATCTCCCACCAGCGCATCCACACTGGGGAGAGACCCTACGAATGTTCTGAGTGTGGGAAGAGGTTTTCACAGAGCTCCAATCTCCTCACACACCAGCGGATTCACACGGATGAGAGGCCCTTCCACTGCCACGACTGCGGGAAGGGCTTCAAGCGAAACTCCACCCTCATCATCCACCAGCGCATCCACACTGGGGAGAGGCCCTACAAGTGTTCCCAGTGTGGGAAGAGCTTCTCCAAGAGCTCTGACTTGACCCGACACCAACGGACTCACCGGTGAGGGAAGCTCTGTGAGTGCCCTGAGGGCAGGAAATGCTTCTCATCTGCTGCTCCAACTTCATCCTCCATCGCAGGACCCAGTTTGGGAAGAGCCCTGGTGACCCACATTCCCAATGATCCACATTGGGAAGACACCTGACCCTTCTCTGGCCTTGGGACTGATGTGAGGTGGGATGGAAGAACATGAGGGTCTTCCCATGCCCCTGTCATTATATCTGATCCCACCTCAGGTCATTCCCAGGGACAGGGAAAGGGACTC